ATCCTGATTTCCTAATTCTAGCAATAAAAAGGTGCCAGAACACATCCTTCCCTTTGCACATTTGCCTTAAGGTTTTTACAGAAGCAAAAGAGGCCTAATATAACTAAGAAGGAACTTGTCCCTTGTCTAAGATTAATCTGCGCTGTTCAATAGCCAGGGATGGACACCCCAGAAAATGAAAAAGACAGATTTTACAAGATCATTACCCATCATATGATTGAAAGATGGGCTAAAGGCTTGGCTAAACTTCCCCATGGGTGACTGTGTCCCACTCACCAAGGGTTGCGTAGCCGTCCTGTGCACTGAGAAAACTGCTCCTCCCTTTCAGCCCCAGAGGTCGGGGCCTGTCTGCCTGTGCAACGGGACAGATGGCTTGAAGTCCTTGGGGATCCTCTCGCATCTACCTCCTGGATCAGGACAGGAACGCAGAGGAGCAGATGTTCCTATAGTAGCCAGCAAGAAGGTAAGCATCTATGTTTACTTCTAAAATAGATGTATTTTATACCATCGTAATCTCCAACAGAAATAAAGAAAATGAGATTTTTTTTTTAATACAGAAATCATCGTCTTGGCATTTAAGAGGCATTTGCCATTGGCTGAATTTTTATTAGAATGGCTTTTTWAAAAAATCTAATTGCTAATATTAAAAACAAACTAGGTCTGGGGCGGCAAAGAAGGAACAGGGGAAATTAATAAACCTTGATGCAATGTGACGGGAAAATTTCCAGCCAGGAAGCAGTCATCTCTGCTCACCTAAACTGCATTTTAGTGCTTTGTTTTCAACGTGAAATAACCTCCTGCTACTCGAAAAGGGAAAATTGGCCGCGCTTCAAGTGCAGTCATGTCATTGACCACGAGAGGGCTGCAGCGGCAGCTTCACCCGAGCAATGAAACCTTCCTCCCCCGGCTCAAACACACCTGGGATTATCACTTCAAAAGTAGATCGGACCGCGGGCTAGTGGCAAGTCAACATAATAGGGTTTCTAGCAGCCGAACATGGGCAGTTGAAAGAGAGAGGCCAAACTGGCTTCTAAGTTGACATAATCCACTGATAGGCAAAGTAGCAGCAGAGCTGCCCAACTCTACCCACCCAAATCCACCACCGTTGTGTTTCAGGAAGCATGGGCTGGTTGAGAGAGACCTTCTGCACGTGTGTGTCTGACTGAATATGTCTCCAAGGCGAAATCATGGAGGAAAGAGAGTCCTATAATTCGTGGCATTTTAGCTGGGATGCAGGAGCCTTCCCAGATYGAAGCGCGTAGACCCCTTTAAAAGTGCCAGCGCATGGGCACTACGTTGAAAGGCTTAAATTGAGATTTAAGCAGTTAAACAGAGTTGAGCAGTTGCTGTGGATCACCTGGAGTGATGCTGGAAGATAAAACCAGAAGCTGCTCCAAAGGGTGACTCCTCACAGACAAGGACAAGGAGAAAGCCAACGATTATTTTAAAAACCCTTTGCCCCCATCCTTCTTTATTTATTTATTTATTTATTTATTTATTTATTTATTTATTTATTTATTTATTTATTTATTTATTTGCCTCTTCAGTCATGGTGCTGGCATGAGATTTTATTTGTTTCTACAAACAGTTTCCTGAAAAAGACTTTAGAAAGCTGTTGCTTCTTCCAGACAACCTCCTTCCTGGCAGCCTTGGAAGCGAAATCATTATTTTTGGCATTGCCTGGGGATTTTACAGCTCCACAGCTCCAAAATATACACCAAATTGCTGTGTTCCTAAGATGACATCAACTTCCATGGATTTAGTGGCCATCTACCCTAAATAGGGGCAGGAGTCAGGTCTTAATTTGTGAAGCACATTCACGATGTCCTCACAYCCGAGTGGATCTGTATTACCTGCAAGTGTTTGATGGTATAACTAAGATTTTAAGCACATAATTTATTATCATTAAAAAACATATTTTGCAGCCTTTAGTGGAAGTGGAGAATCAAACCTCTTAGAATGTATGTGATCATATGAATTTAAATCCACACATATATGGCTATATATAAGAAAGAAAGAAAGAAAGAA